ACTAGAATCAGAGCAACCTATCCCAAAAGATCATTCACATGAAGGTATCATTCAAGATAGGCATTAACAAAATGGAGGTAATTTTTTGAGATGGCATTGTAACAATATACTTTAGAATCCAGTAAAATACCAAATTCAAATAACTCTAGAAAAAATAAATGGAGGAAAATTGTGTATATTTGTGATCTTGAAGAAATATTTCTCTCTTTAGACATTACAATTATCATCATCAGGGCTGGAGAGATGGCTCAGCAATTAAGAACACATGCTGTATTTTCTTACATTAGACCCAAATTCAGTCTGCATCACCCACATGGTAACTCACAACTGTCCTAACTCCAGTTCCAGGGGGATCTGGCACCCTCTTCTGGCACCTGAGGCACCAGAGCACACAGAAAGTGCACATGCAGGCAAGACACTCATATACATAAAATAAAATGTCTGAAAACATGCAGGCAAGACATACATATACATAAAATAAGTATGTTTTAAAATATGAAACTGTCTTCTATTAATTTTCATTTAGTGCTGATGGCATCTTTATACTGGTTTAGGGTTTCTTCTGTAGCTTCTTGACTTGAATGCTTAACTTTTTCCAACTTTTTTTTTTTACTCATATGTCAGGGATAGTGCTTATATTAGGGGTTAAAATGGCAACAAAAACAAGGGTCCATTCAAAACAGTCTTGCTCCCTGCTTTCACTGAATGGTATTAATTTTGTACCATCAGTTACACCATACAACTTGAATTCTGTTGTCATTATTATGTTCTTCAGCATTTGGTTTTTACTTACATTTGACCCAGTATTTAAGTATCCATAACTAACTATAAAAATTTGAAAGTAATAGTATCTCCATGTAGATTACATATCCACAACAAGCTAGACCTTTTAGTGGACCTCTGGCAGCCACCACCTTACCCAAATGAACAAGTTTAATTTCTTAAATAATGTGATAGCTACCACCTAAGCACTTCTGGATATGTTTCAAGATACACAATCTTTAATGTATTCTTATCCAAAATGAGTCATCTGAACCTAACTTTCCTTAGATAGAAGGCAACAGTGGCTAAAGGCTCGAAATGTAGTTTGGTGATTGAGCTCCTATCTGCCACACACAAGGACTTAGCTTCAATCAACACTGAAAATTGAATAAAGGACAGAGCAAGGCCTAATCTTTATCTATATTGGATTTTCCTTAGAATACATAAGTTTGTAAAAAGCACAGTTTGAAGGCCAATAACAAATTTCTGAGTTTCTTAAAACTCTGGATCATTTCCTGGGCCTGATATCTGTGGTCTCTTAGAGTTTGCAGGACAACTGCACAGACCCTTCTAGCTTTTATTAGAGTCTCCACTAAAAGGTAAGGTGCAATTCTAATAGCCCTACCTTTATATGTTACTTGTTCTTTCTCCCTTCAGCTTTTAATATTTTCTTCTGTATGTTTTGGTTTTGATTATTATGTGGCAGGGGAACTTCCTTTTCAGACCCAAGCCATTTGGTGTTCTGTATGCTTCTTGTGCTTTTATAGTCATCTCCCTCTTTATGTTAGGAAAGTTTTCTTCTACAATTTTTTTGAAAATATTTTCTAGGCCTTTGAGTTGGGGTTCTTCTCCTTCTAGTTCCATTATTCTTAGATTTGGTTTTTTCACTGTCCCAGACTTCCTGGATTTCTGTTTCAGGAACTTTTAATAGGTAACACTTTCTTTGAGCAATGTATCTATTTCTTCTATCATATTTCAATGCCTGAGATTCTAATCTCTTCCATCTCTTGTATTTTGTTGGTGATGATTACAACTGTAGCTCCAGTTCATTTACCTAGATTTTCAATTTTCAGAATTCCTTCAGTTTTGTTTTCTTTATTGCTACTATTTCTTTTTTCAGGTTTGAAAAGTTTTTGTTTGTTGGGTTCAACTGTTTGTTTTTCTTAGCTTTCTTGAAGGGATTTATTCATTTCCTCCAATTATCTGTGTGTCTTTTCCTTGATTTCTTTAAGGAATTTATTCACTTCTTTTAGAACCCCTATCATCTTCATGAAGTTGGATTTGAGTCCTTTTTCTCATGTTTCAAATGTGTTGGAATATTCATTGCTTGCTGTATTAGGATGGCTGGGCTCTGATGGTAACACTGACCCAGTTGTTGATTGTGTTCTTATGCTGGCATTTAAGCATCTGAGTTTGGTGTGATTATAGATCTAGGTGCCAAGTTCTGGGTTTGTCTTTGTTGGATGGGTATTTTGTTCTTTGGTTTGTTTCCTCTCTAGTCGTCTGGTTGCTAATATGGTCTCTTGTTGAGAAAGAGGTCTTGGGCCCAAGTTGGGGGCTGGGACACAGTGATGAGGGGAGGGGGTTTGGGGATAGTGAGAGGAGGAACCAAGAGTCTAGGAATTCTGCAGGCAGGGAAAGCTACCTGGAGTTTTGGAAGCCTATGCGGCCTCTGATCCAGCACCAGTCTCTGCCACAGTTGGAGGCTAGTACACAGAGATAAGGGAGGGAGAATTGGGGGCCAGTGTTTAGGGTAGGGCACCAAGAGAATGTAGGTCGGTGGGTGGGTTGCCTAGATGGAGTTCTGGTAGTATATCTTATGGTCCAAGCAGGAAGTCTCCACCTGAGCTGGGATATGGCAACAAGGAGGGGAAGGGGTTGAAGGTTGGGTCCTAGGTGGGTTCACTGAGAGTGGATGTCCATGGGTGGGCAGCCACCTGATCTTCTGGGAGATATGGCCTGTGCTTAGACAGGGGTGTCTGCCAGAGTTGGGAGCTGGGACACAGCAGTGAGGGTTGAGGGACAACTGAGGATTGGTATGGTGGGTGCTAGAGTGAGAAAGGTCTTCTGGCAGGCATTACCTGTGGTCGGGCAGATGATGTCTACCCAAGGAGACTGAGAAAGTAAGGAAGATCCATGGGGTGGCTGGCCTACCAGGACTTTGGGCAAACACAGCCTGTGGTTGGGGCAGGGGGTGGGGTGGGGAGTGTCTACCCAAACAAGAGTGTCTGGGTCATTTCTTTAATAATATGGTTCTGTAGCAGAAATGACACTCCATCTTAGCTGCTGTGGTAAATTATAAAATGGAAAGTCTAAAACTTTGTTTTTTAAGAAAGGGTCTCTAGGGGCTGGAGAGATGGCTCAGAGGTTAAGAACACTGGCTGTTCTTCCAGAGGTCCTGAGTTCAATTCCCAGCACCCGCATGGTGGCTGAAAACCATCTGTAATGAGATCTGGCGCCCTCTTCTGGCCTGAAGGGATACATGCAGGCAGAACACTGTATACATAATAAAAAAAAAAGTGTGCCTATTATTCTTAGTTTAAAGGTTATACAAAAACAGGCAGAGGAGCGGATATAGTTTGTCAACCCCTGACCTAGATAATTCAAGAATGACATTTCCACCTACAAGTGAATCTCTCCTATTTCTTCTCCCCACAAGCTTTTGCTTATGAAACTCTATAGCACGAAGCCACATCCCCTCTTGTATGCCTGCAACATGTCCTTCCTATATAGAATTTTTGTCTGGCAGCAAGAGACTAGCTGGTTCCATTCATGCTAATTATATCATAGCCCTCAATTGTTGCCAAGTGTTCCCATATGGCCATTTGGTCTGGTAAGTCTTCAATGTTTATTGGAAGCAGTTTTGCATAATGGATCGGTTTTTTTTCCACCATTCCTTGAATCCATTAGTTCTTAGATTAAGGCATGCTCACTTATTATTCTTACTGTTTTCACATAGGACCTCAGTCTCTTTCCTGATTGCCTTATTTAAATCTCGAATAGGCTGGATATTGTGTTCCTCCATGTTTTCTCCTTCTTTCTTAATGTTACACTTTCTGAAATGCGAAAGCTATCTGCAACAGCTTGCTGCTGTTTTACCTCAGATGGCAGCCTACTTTTCCTACAGAATTCTGTTTATCCTCAAACATATCCTGGCTCTTGGTGAACCTACAAATCTCTTCCTTATATCATCTTGTCTACATATTCAGATACTGGAAATCCTCTTATCTTTAAAATCTTCCAGAGAAATTATTTTGGAGTTTAGATGGATGTCATTTGCCTTATCAGTTAAATTTTAAGCTTATTTCAAATGAGTCTCTATAGTTGTTAATGGTTTATCTTCCATGGAATTAGCTATCTGTTGGATGAAGATTATCATAGGTGTTATGATAGACATTTCAGCACATAAATAGAACATGCTCACCATAATGGGACAGTTTATCTAATCTAAGGAACCAAGTTTTTCTCTGTGCACTATCATAACTCACCTTGCAGAAATTTGGTTGGGGCAAGATGGTTCTGCAAACATCTTCGGGGTTGGATTCCAGATGGAGACTACTTCCTGTTCTCACTATTTAGGTGTTTTTTTTTTTCCTTAGATAAAAATAGCTTGAAGTAAATTACAAGAGGTATGAGTTTTCTGGAGCTGCGCTTCAAGGCTCTGTTGCTAACATTTTGATAGTCTGTAGTGAGTGGACTATGTATTTGAAGCAATGATATGTCCAGATGATCTGATATTTGGCACATAAAGATGCCATTTTGGACACCACGACCTTTCATGTAAAGTCAGGTCTTTTGCAGTTAGAATATTACTCTCTTCCAAATTCTTTTGAAATTTAACTAGCATTATAATAATCCTAAGAGGTGAACCTTTAGAAGTTGATTAGGGCATGAAGGCCCTACCCTATTGGATGAGATCGGTGACAGTGTAAAAAGGAGGTTATCACCCTTTTGCTTTCTTGTCTTCTGCCATGGGATGGCATAACTAGAAAGCTCTTGAGAGGTATTAGTCCCCTGATCTTGGAATTCCAAGCTTCTAGAACCAGGAGACAATAAATTTCTGTTCATTGTAAGCCTCCCAGTCTGCAATGTTTATGGTAACAGAATGGAGTTTACAGTGGTTAAGATTCAAATGTTAACTCTTTGTGTGTATGCATTTGTGTGTGTGTGTGTGTGTGTGTGTGTGTGTGTGTGTGTGT